CCCCCAAAGCCCAAAGCCCGAACCCCAAACCGCCTGAATCCCGACGAAACACAAAAACCCAATGCCCGCAAACCCTTAAAAGCTGTAGGTTTTAGGTTTTACGTTTACACCTCCCAACTGTTCCCTCTCGATGTATCAACAGACTACAACCCCAATCCCCTAGACAAAACCCTGGTCACCAACCGATTTAACAGACCTAAATATGTTCATTAAAGGTTTAGGGGTTTAGGGGTTTAAGGGTTTAAAGGTTTAGGGCTTTAGAGGTTTAGAGGGCGTTTAAGGGTTCAGGGCTTTAAGGCTTTAGAGCTTTAGGGGGTTAAGGGTTAGGGGTTTAGAGGTATAGGGCTTTAGGGAGTTGTGTTAAAGGGTTTGAGGGTTTAAGGGGCTAGAGAATTACGATTTAGGGGTCTGGGGGAAGCTCGTCAGGAAAATCAATTTTATCATAAAATCCAAGGAATACTTGTTTACAAAATCAATGGAACAAACTCCATAAAGGTCATTAGAAATACCACGATTGAAATCAATAGATTTCAGAACGTCAGTAGAAGCCTGTAGCAACAAATGGACGAATCGATGAACATTTCCTCAAAATTGATAGACAAAGTGGTGTGGGTTTTCTTTGTAGTCCGAAATAACAAATCAAGCGTGCGTGCTTTGGGGAAGGCCTGGAAGCCCAGGTCTTTCACAAGGAGCTCGCGAAATTTGACAGGGCTAAGTGTTGCAGATTCGTTTTTAGGGGGGCTTTCGGGCTAAGTGCTTTAGATTAGTTTTAAGGGGGGCTTTCGGGTTAACTGCTTTCGGTTAGGGACATTCGGGCTAACTGCTTGAGATTAGGTTTCCAGGGGGCTTTCGGCGTGTAAGGTCTGAGTGTTAAGTTTAAAAAGCTGCTGTTTCGGGTTATTGTTGTAGACTGTCGAAGATTACAAAAGCACAAAGACCAAAAAAACATAGATCTTTGAGGGGGGGTAGCATATATATATATATATATATATATACATACATATACATGTACGTGTGTATATGTATATATATATATATATATGCGTATGTATATCAATCCTTATTCTTTGTTTACAAATTTATTTACATGAAGTTGTGTTTGTGCACCTGGCATGCGCCCTGCATTGCAAGGTCAGAAGACCCATCTTAGGCTTGTACTAGCAAAGTCTTCGTCAAACGCACTCCTTCTGTAGACTGGTGTAGACACAACAGGACAGGTACATCCTAACGCAAAGCGATCCGGGAGAGTAGCTGTCGGAGACAAAACGATTTAAGACGTGCGAGTGCAAGTCTACAACTTCCACTCAACAAAATCCATTCAGGGCAATGACAACAGAAGTTCCTCTGAGGTTCCAGCAACTTCTGCATGCCAGGCCCACGTCATGAAGGCTCAGAAAGCCTTTATCGTGCTGGAGACTTCGCACATGTAACATGGTTGGGGTGCATAATGAATTGCCGCAGTGGTCTGGCAGCACTAAGTTCTGAGATGTACCTCGCATGAGGCTTCTCGGTTCGTCATCCTTCGCCGTTCCTTGCACAGTTTGAAGTTATGGCTCATCTTTGGGCTTTCGTGTGCTTCGCGGCGGTGTGAAAGAAGCAGTCTTTGTCACAGGGTTCTAGGCCTCGGGTGTCTCTAGCCCTGCTGTTTACTGGCTGAACGGGGAAGGCGCAGGCGACAGCGGGGCCAGCAGAGTCAGACAAAGCTTCTATCAGCAAGTCAGTCCAGCTCCGTCAAGGTTTCCTTGCACTCATGCCCCAGCCCTCGAGACCAGCTGATTCCCAAATCACAGGCAGCACGCATATCCCGGATGACCCACTCTTGCCACAGTGTGCACGATCTCTTCTTTCGAACCTTTCTATCTTCCACGTCTGTGCGTGTAGAAGTTGAAGTGCCACATCAAGCGACATAGTAAAACTCGACAAACAAACAAACAAACTGGCTCAAGGCCTTCGCTGCTCAACATCGCAGGTGGCTTTGACACTGTGCAGCAAACATTCACGCCTAAGTAGTACCTGGTACCTCTTTCGTGCCTGAGCAAGTTGCAGTACACCATAGCACCCAACTATTGAAAAATAACCGAAGCTTACTCACGGCGGTCAGGATTTGTGATATGTGTCTATTCGACGCATGTGCTCCACGGCTGAAGAGGGCACATCAAGGATGGAGTGATTCCCTCAGCAAGCCTCTACGGTTCTCTTGGAAAGAAGAAGTCGACACTCAACATTTTCTGCCACTTCGCAATGGTCTCAACTTCCGCCACGTCCACCTGGCATGCTTGGTACTCTCCTAGACGGTCTTGGCTCACAGTTCCCCGGTGTTTTACTTTTGGTCGGCGTCCGCAGGGCTCGAAGCAGGCCGGCGTGTTGCGCTGCAACCCTGACTGTACGCATCACAGTCTTCCACCGGTCCTCCAGTGTCTCGAAGGCATGCTGACACGATCCCGTTAGCCCGATGTCTCCGTGTCTTGGGGTTCAGTTGCTCCCGGTGTCTTGGTGTGTCGACATCCTGGCGCTACGGTACCTATCACAGTCTCCTGGACTCTAACGACCTTCTAGATTTTCAGTGGTCCGTTGTTGCGGTTCTTGTGTCCGCGTGACGCGTGGTTTGTGTGTCAGGATGTCAATGCCATGCCTAGGACGTTTGCACCTTCCGTGCAACCCCGAAAGGCCTGAGGGCCCCAAGTCCTTGCAAGGAGCCGATGTGGAGGCGAGATGTTCCGCATGTTCTTCTTGAAGAGCCGCAGACACAGTTTAAAACGATGCCACCTGTCCGAACTGCCGCCGCTTGGACAGACCACGAGGCAGAAGGAAAGCCAAGCTACAATGCAACTTGGGGCTCGATTTTCCGGCGCTACATCTCTCAGGAAACCAGAACCGAACCCGGGCGGAAGCCTGATGCGACGAACCCTCGCCAATTGGGCGCCTCCGGCCAGGGCTTGCACGCTTCTCAGGCTCAGCAGTGACTCAACAGGGCAAGCGGACACGGATCCGACAGCTTGGGCTTTCAGTGCTGGTAAAAAAAATCCTGACAACATGCATCATCCGGGACTCATGTCCGGCATGCAGCACGAGGACTTTTGCTGATACTCACACTAGTCGTGCCGTAAGAACAGCTGATGGCCACCTGTACTTTCGCAGGAAGCCGAGAACTCCCATGCTTTCTCTTTGAATTCCTTGAGACTCGGAAGATCTTAGCAGGCAGTCGCACCAGAGGTTCTCGCCCAATTAATGAGAGATAGAATACCTGCGAAGCGAACTTCCAGACCTGCAACGAGCGACTAATTACGCACTATGCACATTCTGAATTCATTCCATCGGCTCTTTTGTGCCACTACTCTCGAACTCAAAACCCGCACCAAGGACTCTACAGGCACTCGACAGAAAGCTAAGGCAAACAGACACAACACACGATAGGCTGGTAAAGCAACATGCCAGGAGGAACGTGGATTATCCAAGAACCAGAGCAGTTTGCCAGCTGATATTCGTGGCGCTGGAAACAGCTCCACCTGTACAGCACTCTCGTGCAACCATGCATTTCATCTGATTACCGGAATCCGTTACGTGCATGTAAGGAAATCGAGGAAGTGCTATGCTGCGCACATGCTCCAGGCCCACGATCATGCAGAAAGGATTTCCTGGGACTTCTCTAAGGTGTAGCTGCAGGCGTTCTGCAGGTCCGGATCAGTAAGCCTGTCGAATTCTCGTGCTTCGTCTTTGAATTTCTTGAGACGATCTGAGGAGGCAGTGGCACCACCGCCTCTCCCACAGTCAGAGATGAATCTAGAGCCATGAGTCTTGCAACATGCATCTCACCTGATTTCTGCAGCTGGCTTCGTGCATACTGCGAATTCAGAGAATTCCGAGACCTTCAGTGCGGCGTGCATTTGCTGCCCAAGCTCGGCATTGTTGAGACTTCCAATATCCAGTTGCTGCCTGGACAGAGTCAAGACAGGTACATTTCGCTGCACAGTCTTTCAGTTCTGCTGCCGCAGTCTTCGAAGACAGACGCACGCCCAAGTCAACGAAAGCACGCAACCGAAAAACACGGCAAGTCAATGCACAACGCTGGACCCTCTTTGTACACTTTCGAGGCCTCAACTCTCAACGACTTGGGGGGGCATGCAAACGCAGCTAGTGTACAACGAGCGTTGCTTTGAATTCCACTGTGCCTGAAACTTCGTTTATCAGTCTTTCGGGTGCTGCAGCGACTACAAGAACATTTATGCCTGTGAATTCAGCCCTAGCGCTCCAGCTTGCCTCTGCAATTAACACATTTGGCTACCACCACAAATCGCACATTAGCGTTGCTGATGCTTGTGCCTTTTCAAACGCTCTCGTTGCCACCTGCTGCTGCGCCTGCCGCTTCTGCTTGGAGACGCCACGGCCCCTGCGCCACAGCCCCGGCGCATCTGCTGCTGCTGCCGCCCACGGTGATATTGTTGCTGCAGATCCTGCTCTTCCTGCTATGATTACTCCTGTAGTGCTAGCATGATGTAACCGCCCTTGTCGTTAAATCTTGCCATCTCGATTTCTGTGTCTGCTTGACTCTTGACAGTATCTTCAGCAGCTGCAGCTGCAGACTGCTGATAATGATAGCAATACTACCACTATTCCTCCTCCTCTACTTACTGCTACGAGTACTACTACGACTACGACCACGACCCCGATTGCCGCTACCACGACAATGCCACGACAGCATATCTCCAGTACTATCGCACTACCACTACCTCTGCCACTGCCACTACCATTACCATACCACCGCCACCGCCAACATCCCCTTGCGACGACTACTACCACCTCCACTATCTCAAGTGCCACAGCAGGCCCAACTATCGCCGTCATTATCAGCTGCTGCTTCCTCCGTTGCAACAGCATCGCCACTCTGGCCACTGCTCTTGCTGTTGTTCTGAGCATTGGGGTCAGAGTTCGGAGAATGCAAAACCCTGGACTCTGAATCCCGAGAATACAACGGCTATCCCGTCGCCTTGGCTCGCGAGGGCTCACGACCTAGGAAAGCTTGGGGAGGCCGTTGGCGCGTCGCTCAAGGCAGTCGCCGTGCAAAGGCGTACCATGTCATTCCTGCACATGTAGGCTAAGATACAAAGATACCTGTGCGTATTTTGCATCGACTCTCTAGATATTAGACCCCACGTCTGCAACCTGACTCCAATCATCGCCCGTCGTTCACAAGAACTCCCCATGCTTGTAGCCCCAACCGGACCCTGCTCTGCCTTGCAAGAAAAGTCACAAGCATTGAAAGGCTTCAACGGAGATGTTGCTTTGCTTCAGGAACCCAACAAGCACAAACACGCATCGAAGAGGAGACGACCACAAGTTAGATTCAGAAGGATCCCCGCTAGGCGAAAGTAGCTGAATTCTATTGAAATGCGAAGTGCAAGCCTGTTCTGCCGCGTCCAAGAATGACCGGGAGCAAACAATGATCAGATTGACATTTGCCTCGACTGTCTCTACACTCTCTCCACTCTCTCTTCTCTCTCCCCTCGTGTGGCATTGACCCTGAGCTTCTCTCTGATAGCTCAGGCGAGTCACCCGGCTGCGAAGTTCAGCACGCGAGTGATGTCCCACAAGTCATCGCGGTAGGTGCCTAGTGGCAGGATGAGTGCAAATGAGCCAGATCTTGTGAAGATGTTCTGAACGGGGCTGAGCAGCCTTGCTAGCGGGACCCCGAATGCTGTCCTGCATAGTGGTGCATAGGATACAAGCAACTGCCTTCAATGACTCAGGCAAGCTGGCTGTGACGAAGCAAAGGTTTCAAGAATACAAGCTAACTCCAACAGCAGACCGAAAGAACAGTGTGCCGACTTCATGACAGGATGCTCATGTGGCTAGATTCTTGCAAGATTGTGTGTCGTAGACCTTCAAACGTCACTGCTCCAAAGGACTGCGACGCCATGACGTAGTCGTTGGTGGCATCAATGGCTTCACGGTCGTAAACTCCACACCGAAGCAGAAGACTAGGTGCTTGCAGCCTACATGGTGGTGTAGAGAATTCCGGATTCAGATACGAGGCGCTCATCCAGGAAAAGGCGACCAATCTCAAAGGCTTCAAAGTGTAAGCTGGCAGGACGATGTGGTCCCACAGCACCAATGCACGGATAGAATCACGGATTGCCAACTCGGTGATCTGAGCACATCCCGTCACGGCCACATTGCCAAGGGACATGCCAACGAGAATCACTCGACTTGGGGAGACCTGTCCTAAGAGCCGGCTCAAAACGTAAAGGTGCACCGGACCTGGCCGAGACATGATGCCAGCCCAAAGATGGTCCATGTTAGAGAGCTGCCATGCGATGCTTTGCGAGAAAAGCCGTTCCAACCGCGGCCAATTCAGCATCTTGCTCATGCCGAAAGACATCGCCCCACCAAGAAAACAGAGATAATTTCCAGGCCCGGTTGAAGACTGCAACGGTGAAAGCGATCCTTGCCGTGCGACTGCGGGTCCATCATCGAAGGTGGGTGATCGCATCCCGGTTAGGAGGGGAAACCACGTGCTGCTGTCCACCGATGGGGCTTGCCTCCGGTGCTGCAGTGATGTCTGAACGAGCTCCTCACCGCGGTCACCCAAGCGTTTCTGAACCAATGGCCTGGGAGATGCCAGTGCCACCTTGCAATGCAAGATCAAGCTCTAGGTGTGAACGGTGCGATGTGCAGACTGGCTAGATCAACTTTAGTTTGCGGCCAAACAGCGTGCTACAGAAATAGTGCGAGCCACTCCACAATGCTAAGCGGGGAGGCTCGAAAAGCATTTAAACAGCATTCAAGGGCCTTTTGTTGCATGAGTCGCGAAGTTTAACTCCTGTAGGTATCACTGATGCTGACACACAGGAACGACAGAGACGTGTTGACAAGTCTTGCACTCATGCACCGAGGGAAGTTGCTAGCATCGAAACTTAGAACTTGCTCGCATTCCGTATGTGGTGTAGGTGCGAGTTGGTTCCTTCGCACAGGGCATGGTGGTGCAGTGGGAAGAGCTCCACATGATCCCACTTGCTTTTCTTCTGCACGCTGGCATGGGCCATTCCTCGCACGTGCCGGTGGAGCATACTAAGCACGTACATTCATTTGTCACGTGTCCAAAAGATCTCCTTGCATTGCTCTGTCTGTGCACGTCACGCGTTCAATGTCCCCAACCACTACCCGCTGAGAAGCGTCAGCACCTCAAGTGGTCAAAACGACTGCCAAAACGTTATTCGTACCACTGCGGCCCTGGCCTCAGGTCTGAAACCACCATGCGCGAAGAGCGAGCTGTCAAGCAGGTCACCACAAAGTGTCCAAGCTGTGGTCCTGCTCGAAGTTCCAATCAAACACTAAAGGAATTGCAGTGAAATCAACATCATACATGTTGATAACATCGTCGGGTTAATCTACTAAAGCTGGTACTAATACTCAGTGCTTGTGGCTATTGTAAAGCAGATAAGAGAACTGATATAATATACATCCATGGTTGCAAGAAGCAGATGACGTTGACGGAAGGTGGATGCTTCGACGTATGCCGAGCAAAACTCAGACACTGCCAGTGCTCTGAATGGTCGGTTTCTCTCGTGAGCGGTTTCCCTCGTGAGCCTGGTCTCTCCAAGGACTCTCAAGTTTGTCTTACCGTTTTTGCAGCCACGAGATTGCCGTGCGCCATAAACAACAAGATCTCGCAGAACAGCTCCCCACCTTCTAGCGTTCTCAATCTCCAGAGGAACTGCTATAATGTTCGCCTGTGATTAATAGATGGGGTGGGATTAATAAAATAATTGTTCGGGCCGGTTCTGCCGATCGCTTTCTGGGAAGACTACAAGCCTGCAACCGGTCCCCGGACGCCCAAACAATTAAATGGGGTTGTAATAATAAAATAATTATTTCGGGCGGCCCTTTTTTTGGGCATGGCGAGCCTCTTCTGAGTTGAGAACAAGCACTAAGCCGTTTGTGGCATCCCTACACCCCAGAAACGGAGAGATCACATGTGACCGCTTTTCGGGCTCGCCGGCCCGCGGCGAGCCCAAAAAGCGGTCACATTTGCTCCTTCCCTCCCTGCACCCTAGCAACGGCCAGCGCAAATATGCCAGAATTAGGGGAACCCCCGAGATTGGCCCTGACCCCCTTCAAAAACACGCTTTTTACGAAAAGAATTTATCATTCAAAATCTGGCCCTAGTTTTCCAAAATTTGCCTGCTCCCACTCCTCCCTACACCCCAGCAACAGAGAGACCAAATGTGACCGCTTTTTGGGCTCGCCGGGCCCCGGCGAGACCAAAAGGCGGTCACATTGCTCCTTCCCTCCCGGCACCCTAGCAACGGCCAGCGCAAACATGCCGGAATGGGGGGAACCCCGAGATTGGCCCTGACCCCGTCAAAAACAGGCTTTTTACGAAAAGAATTTATCATCAAACTCTGGCTTTGAAGTTCCAAAATTTGCCTGCTCCCTCTCCTCCCTACACCCCAGCAACGGAGAGACCAAATGTGACCGCTTTTTGGGCTCGCCGGGCGGCAGCGAGCCCAATCCTGCACCCTAGCAACAGCCAGCGCAAATGTGCCGGAATGAGGAGAAACCCGAGATTGGCCCTTCAAAAACACGCCTTTTACGAAAAATATTCTCAGTCAAAATCTGGCTTTGAAGTTCCAAAATTTGCCTGCTCCCTCTCCTCCCTACACACCAGCAACGGAGAGACCACATGTGACCGCTTTTCGGGCTCGCCGGCCCCGGCGAGGCCAAAAAGCGGTCACATTTGCTTCTTCCCTCCCTGCACCCTAGCAACGGCCAGCGCAAATGTGCCAGAATGGGGGGAACCCCGAGATTGGCCCTGACCCCCTTCAAAAACACGCTTTTTACGAAAAGAATTTATCATTCAACATCTGGCCCTGGTTTTCCAAAATTTGCTCGCTCCCTCTCCTCCCTACACCTCAGCAACGGAGAGATCACATGTGACCGCTTTTCGGGCTCGCCGGGCCGCGGCGAGCCCAAAAAGCGGTCACATTTGCTCCTTCCCTCCCTGCACCCTAGCAACGGCCAGCGCAAATGTGCCGGAATGGGGGGAACCACCGAGATTGGCCCTGACCCCCTTCAAAAACACGCTTTTTACGAAAAGAATTTATCATTCAAAATTTGGCCCTAGTTTTCCAAAATTTGCCTGCTCCCTCTCCTCCCTACACCCCAGCAACGGAGAGACCAAATGTGACCGCTTTTTGGGCTCGCCGGGCCGCAGCGAAGCCAAAAAGCGGTCACATTTGCTCCTTCCCTCCCTGCACCCTAGCAACGGGGAACCCCGAGATTGGCACTGACCCCCTTCAAAAACACGCTTTTTACGAAAAGAATTTATCATTCAACATCTGGTCCTGGTTTTCCAATATTTGCCTGCTCCCTCTCCTCCTTACACCCCAGCAACGGAGAGACCAAATGTGACCGCTTTTTGGGCTCGCCGGGCCGCAGCGAGGCCAAAAAGCGGTCACATTTGCTCCTTGGTATGAATACGAGTACTGCTACTCGTACTAGTTACTAGTACTACCGCCACCAATCGTCTCTCCCATTATTCCAACCCCTTCAATCGTTCGGCTGGGGTCCCGGTCCGCGCTTATTCCCAATCCTGGGGGGGCGGGGGGGAGGGTTTATTAATCACACCCCCGCATTAGATCACATGTCACCCCATCCACAAGTAACTTCTGAATGAACACATAGCACAAAAAAAAGCATCGAACTCCTCGAAACCGAAACTCGCAAAGAACATCACTGCATCAACCTTCCGAAGAGATATGAAGAGACATAGCAAGCCAAAAGCATCTTCCGCGGTCAAGAGCTCTCCTTGCATCAGAAGGAGGCTTGTTCCCGGCAGAAACGAAGATCGATTTGCATCGCGGATCCGACCGGTGGTAGGCGCCAGAAGTCATTGTGCGGACTTGTCCAGCTCCCGGCACCTCACAAGTTAAGGCAAAGGTTTTCGTGGCGATCACGCTGTGGCGCGTGTTGCTGAGCGGCTTGAACCACACTGTGACAGTTCGTCCATCTCTTGGAAGCTTTCCGTTCCAACCATGGACGATGCTGAGCAGCTTGACCCTAACTGTGACAGTTCGTCCATCTCCTGGAAGCTTTCCGTTCCAAACACAAGGTCTGAAACCACCACCACAAAGTGTCCAAGCTGTGGTCCTGCTCGAAGTTCCAATCAAACACTAAAGGAATTGCGAGTGAAATCCCCATCTTACATG